AGGCTGCTGTGACTTGAAGTGGAGACGAGGCTGGTGAGAACCAAGGGGAACAAGGGTAGCGGAGCCAACTTTTAAAAAAAATACTGATAACTGTTGCTCAAAGTGTATAAATATTTTCTGTCTGTTAACTGAGGCGTGCTAGCTTCGTGGGCCTACCACCTAGCACCCAGCTCTGCGCAGATTTGGAATAAAAGCAAGTATCTCGGCTCTGCGTGTGTTTTTCGGCGCTCTGCACACCGGGTGGAAGAACCCATATTTGGGACCACAAAGGGTCTAGAGCTCTTATGAGGAGCGGCTGAGGGAACTGGGGTTGTTCAGCCTGGAGAAGAGGAGGCTGAGGGGAGACCTTATCGCTCTCTGTGACTACTTGAAAGGAGGTTGTAGCGAGGTGGGCATTAGCCTCTTTTCCCAAGAAGCAAGTGATAGGATTAGAGGAAACGGCCTCAAGTTGTGCCAAAAATTTCTTCACCCAAAGGTTTGTCAAGCACTGGCACAGGCTGCCCAGGGAAGTGGTTGATTTACCATCCCTGGAGGTATTTAAAAGATGTGTAGATGTGGCATCGAGGGACATGGTTTAGTGGTGGATATGGCAGTGTTAGGTTTACAGTTGGACTTGGTGACATTAGAAGTTTTTTCCAACCTAAATGATTCTGTTATTTGATGATTCTAAATTTGGCCTCAGCTTAAACGAAGTGTTCCAGCCAGCTCTTCTGTAGTTAATGTAATCTCCCACTGCTTGTTCTTTTTCAAGTTTGTTAATAAAAAAATAACTTTTCAAAATAAAAAAGTGACTGGTAGAAGTTGGTAAAATGTTAATTATTGATACATTTGTTTGCATAGTTCAAAAAGATTGCTCTGTGTAGATTAGAGATACTTCTGACATTCAACAGGCATTCTTTTATTCGTATATATATGAATTTTTTTTTCCCCCCTGTGTCCTCTGGTCATTTATGTGTTGGAGTCAACCAGTTAAATTGTGAGATCAGAGCTTCACAAAGATAAAAGACTTTTTTGCTTTGTCTTTGTTGTTATTGTTCTTAGTGCTATCAGTGTATTTGACAGACCTTTTTTCTTTGCCATTTAACATTCAAGGAGAATAAGAATTGTTGCTTACAGTAAATAAATGGAAAGCAAACCCCATAGCAAATCCAGTTATGTTTCCATGACGACATTTACGCTGCACTTTGCATACTTGAATTCTGATGGAGAGCTGCATTGTACAATGGCGGATGATCGAACCTGGTGCTTAGGAAACAGTTGACTGCATGGTTCTGTCCATCTTTTTTTTCCTGAGGAGGCTTTGGTGTTGGTGATTATCTGAGTTCTCTCAAGTGGGAATTAAGATTGCAGAGTGTTTCGTTAACAGAATAATACAGAAATGATCATAGGCTTCAGAGAAGTACTAAGAGAAACGTAGGAGTTGTTCATATGATCCGTCATCTGGGTTTGACTGTCATGTGCTTGCTGTTAAGCCTCTCCTGTTTTCTTTTAAATTCATGAAGTTAGGGACATGTATCTATAACTGTATTCATTCCGAAATTTTAATTATTTTAGGTTGCTTCCACCTAGTAAAGTGGTCAAAAATATTTACAATAATTATATAATTAGTTATTTTTATCTTCCTCTGAAAGTAACTGAAGGAATTTCATAAAGTCCTCACTGTCACAAAATCTTTCTCCGGGCAGTCAGCAGGAGTAACAGATAAATGTTTGGGACAACCGTGAGCATATGAAGCAGTGGTAGACTAAAAACAGTTTTACCCCGTTCACTACAGCAGTCATGACTGTCAGGGATCCCTTTTAATATGCTTACATAGAAAGTATGCCCAGCGTACTTCTTGAAGGAAAGGTCATCATATAAATTAGAGGTGGTATCAAAATGACTTTGCAATACAAACCTATGTACAGATTTATGAAAGGTAATTCTTTTTAACATTAGACTGAGATGAACTGTTCATATGGTCCAAAATTGAGGTGTTGTGTAGACAGCAAGAAGTGATTTCATGACTCTAGTGCTTTTTGCATTTATTTGCCAAGACTGGATGACCTTATTTGGGTTGATATTCCTAATTAGGCTATTTTTAAGAGGAGCATTCCTTATTAAGGATAGCGTTTCATACTCAGACGGCAAGAATTTGTAGTGAACAGTCCAAGTGCAGTTTTTTCATACTCTAAGTGCAATGGAGTCCTTTTTAAAAATGCTTCATACCGGCTGACAGATAAATGCTTGATTCTGTGGTGGTTAACCTGCAAGACTTCCATGTTATTACAGCAGCGAGACATCATTGACAATATACTACTTAGTAGGAAGGTGTTAATCTTGGTGCCATTGTCTTTAAAAAAGGATAAGAATTGCCCAGAATCTCATTATTTGTGACCTGTACCTTAACTGATTAAATACAATAATAGGCGTGCATTGCTCATTATGAATTATTCAAAGTTCTTCCCTCAGAAAATAGCTATTTGGTATAGAAGTCTAATAATCCCATTTTCAATGACGGTAAACTTCAGTGTTGTTCCACATAGAGAAGAAAAAGGTAAGTGAGTACAAATGATGGAGATTTGGAGCTTTCAGTGTAGGTGACTGCTGTCAGTAGTGGATGGACAAGTTTATTCTTAGTCGCATGTATGGATGTTCCCATTGTATCCAGTACCTACTGGTGGCTTCCAAAGGAGCATTGTTGAAGAGTGCATAGATCAAACTGGGGCAGCTGCTTCCACTGCTTCCTCTACCTATATTTATTCTTTAACTGAACTACGTGAACGTGATTGCCATTTGTGTGTGTGAACACGTGTGGTGTTTTTTTTTAAAGTAGTAACAGGAAGGAATAAACTATTAATGTAGCTGTGGCTATGCATCATTATACACTTGAATTGTCCCAATGCATTTTCCTTTTGTTCTTGCTTAACGGAGTCTTTGCTTAAATATTGCCTGTCTGAAAAATTACTTGGCATTTTCAGGTAGAGTATGTTGTCAGTGAATCGTGTATGTTTTTCTCATCAGGTGCTGTTATATTACTTGGAAGAACCAATATGTTTCGCTTTAACCACCCCAAAGAAGCTGCTAAGCTAAGGGAAAAAAGAAAGGTGGGATTAAATCAGTGACTGGGGAAATTTAAACCTTTCACAATTTTGTTGTTAATATAGACATACCTCGATTGTTGTAGAATACTTTTTTAATTTGCTTTACATCCATTAGTTAATATTTCATCAAGTGAAACAAAATAAGAGTTTGTAAGCACCTAAGTGTTTGTCTAATACATTTATTTTCTGGTCTGTTGTTAGAGTGGACTGCTCTCTTCCTTCAGCTTGTCTATGACAGATCTTTCAAAATCTTGTGAGAACCTGTCAGCAGTTATGCTGTATAATCCAGGGTGAGTATATTCTAAAATGTGGTTATTAAAGTTGCAACCGTTCTTCATTTTAGTGGTTTGAGTGTTCCAAATGTCAGTAATAAAAAATATTTTGTTCTCAGGTTAATAGTATATGCTTGTTAAATAATGGGCTTCTGAATGAAGCCAGAACTTTTTAGAAATGTTATTTGAACTAGTTCATGCTAGGAAACAGGATGAAGGGGCACTGAAGAAATTTCTAACCTGTTTAAAACTTGCTTTTACCTGAGATTTTTCTACTTAAATGCAAGAAGAGTAACTGCACCAGCAAACAGCCACACTCATACATCTAACACCAAGGAAGCTGTAAGCACCTGGAATCTGGGAGACAACATATGCATTATAACCAAGGCAGTTCAGCACATTAATAACATAGCAAATTTTACATTTATGCTTTCTTCAGAATTACAAGTTAACTATTTTTCCTGAGAAAAATGAGTTGTAAACTGAAAATTAAAGCTTTTTGAGTTCATGTAATACCAATACAAGCTTAAAAAGGCTGGCAAATTAATGTCTTATGTTCTCATCTATATACCTCTTAGTAGGTGGCCAAGTTAGGATGTGGAAAACAGTTTTTATTATACAGTTACAATGACATAGACTGCTTATTGTTGAGAAGCTGTTTTTAATGTTTTTACCAGTGTTCTTAAAATGACTTACAGAGAATTGATGGTGTTTTGTTCTAATTTTTTTTCAATAGCTAGTGCCTGTGTTTTGAATTGAGTGTGAGATGAGGCACTTTAACCACCTATGTGCTTTCGAAAAATTGGCCGTAAATTGAATTGCAGGCTTGGATAGAGCAGCTTTATTCCCTGAGTTTTTCTGTGAGGTTGCTCTTTATCCATTAGAACTTGGGAAGATTGGACAGGTAATAATAACTTAAAGATAAACCATGTCTTAAATACAGTGAATATGTGTAATAACACTGCTTAAATGTGACTGTTACTCTTTTGCTACTGAGCTACCTACAGAGATGTCAAGATAGTGAGATAGTTGCTCATAAATTACGTCTTTTTTCAGAGATGAAAGAGAAGGTCAAAAAAGTATATGTATGTTTTTCTATTTCTTTAGCTTTTCAGATACTTTGATCTAAAAACATCTAGTCAGAGTTGCTAGTATTTTATTTTTTGTGGGCTGGGTGAGGTTCCTGGCTGTTCTTTCTTACCTCTGGTTATTGATCAGCTACCGTGGGCTTTTCCCCGACTAATAATGTTACGCTGTTACGATATTGTTATGTTATTCATAATGCTGCACAGTACTGACCTTGACTTTGCAGTCAGCATAGAATAGACAGATTGTTTCAGCATTGCCTCACTTTTAGTGTTTCAGGTTTGCAGAAAATATAATGGTATGGGCAAGGCCCAGTTGAAGAGGCCTTGGAGGGGAAAAAAAAAAAAAAGGAAAAGAGGTCTCAGGTCAGGTGTTACTTGATTGTCTCTATGATGGAATAGATTACAGCAAATTCTTCTTCTTCCCCTAATATTTTTTGTGACATATAGCTTCTTTTTTAACTTACCAGTTCTTCAAACATCTTACCTTGCTTTCCTGGATATCAAACAGTATGAATAATACAATTAAGTTATCAATATATGCAGCATTTTTTAAAAACATTATCATTTTTCCCATCTAAAAGTTCTTGTAACTTTTATTTTGCTTTCTTGGATGTGATTAGGAGAGTGCTGTTGAAATTGAGGATAGATTAGGTGAAATACTGTTCATATTCCTGAACACTTTCATGCCTGTGTTTTTTATTAGACTAGAAACTATGAGCAGAGGGTTAATTATTGGTGTTCTCCTACTACTATGCATTCAGTTAATCTTTGTGAACTATCTTGCAGGATATTTTGTCTTGCTTAATTTGTAAACACAAAAACGGATTATGCTTAAGGCTCACATTACAGGAGGAATGCTGGTCTGTGTGGCTGTTGCTTGTTTGTGAGCAATAAAACCTATCTGAGGTTGTTCCATAGTCACTGTTATGTATATAAGTGAGGAACGGCATGGCTGCATATTCATAATTTAAACTCCTACCCCCATCTTAGATACTTTAACTATGTTCAAACAAATAGATGCCATACCTAATAATACACGTTGCCCACGCAGTGCAGAGGTTGGTGTTGTCCTAACTGATCAGTGATTCAAAAAAACAAAACAAAAACCAACAAACCCAAAACCAAACAATCCCCCTTGTCAAATATGACTGTTCTTACTGCTTTTATGACTGCTGCAAAGAGAAGGTAGGCTCTGAAGTTTAACTGAGCTGCGGTCTTAAAAGTCAGTGGAAGAAAGCATCTTCCATAACTGATGCGTCTTTATGGACAGCAATTTGGCAACAACAGCGTTTCAGCTTAGGCTGGGGTTCCATGACAATTTTAAATTTACTTATGTTGATGCTAACACTGTTTTCTTTCCAGCTCCTCCTTTCTGAGAGCAATGGCGTTTTTCTAAGCATGTGGCGAGCTTGTCCCAAAGAGGTTAATTCTGTAGAAAGTGTTACTTTAAAGGTGGCTGGGGTAAATGCAAGTTAAAGAGAAGAATACGTTTTGAATAAAGCAGACCCCAAGCTTTTGGGCCTTAGTAATAATTCAAAGCCAATGGCATCGTATTCGTAAAGAGTTGGACAGCCTGTAGAATGCTTGAGCTCTGTACTTCCAGCTAGGAATGCTGCTTAGCAAGTACACTGCTGCAGTGGTTATTCTTGTGAGTGGTGACTGTGTTCAGCCTGGGTAAAACATTCAATAAATCTGATCTGTGGGTATCAAAGGCAGGGTAGCTCTACCCACGGCACTGGTGGGGGCGAGCATCTTGTTTCCTGGAAAAGTGCAGATGGAAAAGAATATCCCACTCTAAATTTGGTTTGGATTTTTTTTTTTTTTTCATCAGGAACAATGTAGGATGTGGTCCTTTGGTATGACCCTTTATTACAATAGATTGTGGTATCCGTTTCTCATAACATAACGGTATACTGCCCACCAGCAGTGTAGGTCTGCATTCAGTAGCTGGCCCTCTGGGGCTTTTTGTGCAACTTCTGTAGCTGACTGGCATTCTGCCTGTTGTTAACTCAGCATGTTCAACACCACCTGTTCTTGCAGTTTGACTATTGATAACCTAAAGACTGGTAGGTAAATTTGTGATTTCTGTAGGTTGCAATAAACAGCTTGTAAGATTTAGCATCTTTATTAATCAATGGCAGAAGAGCCTGTGGGGTATTACCTGCAGTTGTGAAAGCAGAAAAATGACAGATCTTGCCAACTATATCAGTATCTTTCCCGTGTGAAAATCAGGTTATCTTTAATTGCGTTTTCAGATGGGTGGTCTTTGTGAGTGGCTTTTGGTGTGTGTGTGTGTGTGTGTGTGTGTTGCATTTTGGCTGCTGATTTCCCATATGTGGAGACAGTTGCATAAAATTTAGGCTTAACATGCAAAATTCTTTGACTTGCTTGTTCCCAGCCTTTGTCTTTAATCTGATGTCATGCAACACTGCTTCAGATAATAAGCTTTGGATAAAATAGAATTTTGCACATAGATTTATGTTGAAGATTTCATTTGTGGACCTTCTGTAAGCTACATTATACTGTAATTCTAAAACCACTCATGAAAAACCTTGGTCTTGTCATGGATTTAGCATGAGGGGGTTTGTTTTCTTTTTTAAAAAATTAATCTCATAAATTGGGCTACTGAATAGCATTGTAACATCTTTGTAGTCCTGCCAGTACTCAGTCTTTCCTAACAGATGTAGTAACAGATCGTACTTTTGTGCTGTGTAAATTAAGCTATTGTAGTACTGGTGCTAGTAGAACTGACTTCCTTTCTCTGCAGCTTATCTACACTGCTCTTATCACTAGATATGCCGTGTTTTCCAGGAAAATGGTGACTGTTTAATTCAACACTGATCAGATTAAGTTCCTTTGTGGTAGAGCTACAAAAGAAGAAAGAGTGGATTCTAGTCTTTAATATCTGTATATTTTTTCTTTCTTTTTAATTTAAAGCTAATAATTTTTTTTTATGTACAGTGGTGCTTACATTAATAAAGAGAGTAAAGGTTATGTGAAAAATGCTTTTATTATGGATAGACTAAACCTAAAAACATCAATCTTGTACCTGTACTTTGTAAAACTGGCAGTGATTTGTTATAGCTGGTGATGGCTGAGATGTTTTTTTTTTTTTTACTAGCTTCTTAAAGAAACAAGGTTTTGGCAATCCATGACAGCCTGTCCTGCCTCCCCAGATTCTCTTCAGCCCTGAAATAACTTTGAAGTCGTAACCGGTTTGAAGCAAATACTGCTGAGGTGTAATGGTCCCAGAAGTGGTGAAGTCCTAAATATATTGAGAAAATAGGCAGCTAGTGAAAGAAGACAGGCATAATTATTATACCTGCAGAAGTAAAGGCTCCAGCATGAGCGCCTTTGATAGAGGATAGAGGCGCTGTGAATAACCCTGTGGTAGGAGAGCCTTTGAGTGGAGCTCAGACCTTCTTAGGTGCCACCGAATCTACGTAGCAGCAAAACACCAGGTTGTGTTAGACTGTCTGTTCATATAGGAGTATTCTTTACTTGTCTAAATTACATAAACGTACATTTTTAACAGTTATAGGTAGTGTTTGGAAGCTGTTGATTGGGGAATTGATGATGATCCATATTTGAGTTCATTCACTGAAGAACGAACCAATTCTGCATAGCTCATTTTTCTTTCCTGAACAACCTTTTGAGCACCACAGGCTTTATTTCAGTGTAAGGTAAAACTGATTGTCCTGACCCCACTGTTGAAGGCATTAGAGACACATACTCAAAGAGCAAATCATGCGAGTTTTCACACTGACCTGTTTTTATATTAGACTGATAGCTATGATGGCTTATTTTCCTTGTATTGAATCTCAATAAAAAGCTAGTTACCATTTTGATGCATATTTAAAATGTTTGCCAAATTATGTGTCTTTTAGGACAGTCAAAATATCAAAAGATTTTTGCTCTCTGTTTTGCGCATTATGTTAGCTGATCTGAAACATTTTACTTCGTTATGGCTTAACCAAGCATGGGAATACTTGTAGATCATCTTTGCCAGCTGTCTAAGCAAAGATGGTCTACATCTGACAGCACCCAATGGACATCTGCATTTCCATGGGCCAGAGCTGTATTCCCCAGGTTCTCTATTACTTTGGGCTGAAGTAATGATGAATATAGTGGCATCTGTCAGCCAAACCCTAGGTAAGAAGTGATAACTAACAGCTACAAATTCCGGAGGTAGACCATAGCCAAAGCAAGGGCTTTTGAGGTATAGCTTAAAGTACAGTACATGGTAATCATTAAATTAAGCTTTTGCTTTCTGAAGTCCCCTAGGATTGCTTTTTGTTCTCTTTGCATAACTTCATGCATTTTGCATTGCTGCTACAAAAATTATGATAGAATTAAAAATACTGAGGACTTGTCACCTCTCCTTGTGCTGTAATGTGGAGATAGTGTCCAGTGGTGCCTATCTCTAGACATAGTCTTAATGCAAATGTAAAGGGGCTCTTGGTGAGACACTTCCAGGAAGGCTCTGGATGTCTGGAGTTGTGCATATAAAAATCTACATTTGCTAATCTCCTAGACATCGTAAAAGGTATTTTTTAAAAACGAATTTGTGAGAAGTAGGGAAAAATGGAATTTGTTAAACTAGTCTTTCTCCAGTATTGCAGTGGTTGGAAAGATGCTTCTTGAGCGGGTAGGAATCAAAGTTCATTTAAACTACTTTATAAATGTTAGGTTATTGGAGTATTTTTTGCATGTTTCCAAGGGCAATTCCTTTTTGTCATAGGCGTTTGTATGATTTTAGAAAGAAATACTCAATGTACCTTATATTAAACAACTGTCTATGTAATTTTGTTCATGACATCTTAAACTGTAGTTCCTCACATACTTGGAAGTTAACTTGTGCAGTCTTGCATTTTTTCAGTGTTGATGAACTATCTCACTAACCTGCAAACTCATTAAGCTGTAGAAGGCCTGAAATAACTGTATATTTGTGTATTTGGTTGACTATTTCAGTTCACATATAGGTTCTTTATGATTTAAAAAAATCCTAGAAAAACTTTATTTTGGAAAACTTCCTTAAAAAACTTACTTTGATTTCCTTTGCAAAACTTAAGTTCTGTACAACTGTAATAAGAGCTGATACTAAAAATGACATAAAATACTTTCCCTTAACTACTCAGAACCTTATCAAACTGAATCCATTAAGATGTCAAAATATGTTAGATGAATGAGTTTGAATTGTGTTCTATACTTGAATGTTTCCAGGAATTTGAAGTTTTTCAACCCCACTGGTTACATCATAGTAATGTTTGTGGGATGGGTTTTTTGTAGGTGTTTTTTTGGTGTGTTTGTTTTTGTGGTTGTTTTTTGGTTTTGTGGTTTTTTTTTTTTTTTTTTTCCCCTGGGAGGAAAAAGGAGAACTAAGAGCATACTGTAGCGTAGTTTCCTATCTGTTTCCTTTCTGATAAAAGGCCAATTTAATAAACCATAAGATGATGAGCATTGATTAAGTAGCACTGGCATTTGAAAAATGTGCTTAGAAAGAACAATTATTTAAATTTTCCTTCTGAATAGTAATGTGATGAATGTTCTATGAATCTAACCTCTAATAAAACAAACTGTTGTTGACTTTAAAATATTCCGTACCGCTAATATGTTTTTTTTTCTATCAATTCCTTTCTTAATTGATCGCTCTGTTTCCCCCTGCCTCCCATGGCAGTCTTTTCCCTGTAAAAGGACCGATCTGTCTAAGGTAGAGAAATTCAATTTCTATGTATTGATTGCCATGTCTGCATGTAGTTAACTTGCAGAGGCTATGCTAATCACTTATCTGTCTTGTTTAACTTTACTTTTTAAATAGGTTTTTTTCCCCTCCAGAAATTCATTTACTTTTCTGTTTGTACTCGTGTCAGACAGCATGATATCTAATTTGTAACCCTAATGAAGGAAATATTTTCTGTTATTGTAGAAAATAGTTTTGTAAAACTTTACTTTTACCATTATTATAATCTTCCAAACAGACACTGAATTGCATTGTATCTTCCTACTTTTTGTGATATTCAGGAAATAATAAACTTTTTACTGTTGTGTTTTTTTTTAATCAGGCTAGAATTTGAGAGACAACAACGAGAGGAGCTTGAAAAATTAGAAAGTAAAAGGTAACATTATTCTCTGTGGTGCTTATATGTGTGTTTGTATGTTGTAGTTTACATATTGTAAATTGTGACTCATTTAAACGATTAATTTGGAATCACGGTGTCACTCAGCAAGCAGAGGATCCTGATATAAATAAGTTTATTTTGTCTTCTATGAAGATTTGGGTTATTTTCTTGAACTGTTCATTCTTACTGATGAGTTATAGATAGACAAGCTGAAGTGTAGCTAACTGTGATCTTTATCAAAGAAAATACGAGACACAAAGGTATGAAGATGGCAAATTATACAAATGTAATATGTTACTCTCACTCTTAATTTTCATGGCATTATTTTAAAAGATGGCAAATTACATTCTTTATTGAGTTTTTTTTTAATGGTTTAGTTGCCTTTGGATTGAATCTTGATTGGAAAAACTCATGTTAGAAATTCTGCTTTTCTTAAATAAAACTGCAGTGCTGGTATGGGCATACCAGTTGTACTTCTCAGAACATGATTTTGAAATCAGTTTGAAGTATAGAAGGATATATTGTTGTCAGCTGGCAAACTGAGCTGACTGTTCTGGCTCATCATACCTGCTAAGATTTTAGAAGTAATAGCTCTTACCTGGTTGCAGATGATGGCATTGATTAGATTCATAACCTGAAAGACACTTTCTGCCATCTCAGCTTTAGCCTGCTTGTTCCATTTTGAAAGAGCTGTTCATACAGTTGGGCTAAGTTAAGTAAACTCAGAAAACTCCTGAAACTCTGAAGCATTAGAAGATGTTATTCAGAAAATGATGCAGCAGAGTCACTGATATTTATCCACTTTGTTACGTTGATAGGATTTGAATTCAGATGATGCTGAAGTTGTTTTGCTTGTGCTTGAATTTGTTTGATTTTAACATCTCGCAAAATAACTGACTGACTTGCAGGTTGTCTCTACATGTATTCAGGCGATTGTATTATGGGGGTAATGGTGACCTTCAAGTCCGCATCTGTCCTCATGTGGAATGCACGGAACCTTAAAAAGAGAGATTGCAGAATAATTTGTCTTAAAGTAATTTCTCTCTCAAATACATCTGTTCCTAATCTTATAATCCTGTTTCTTAATAATTCAGTTTGGCTCACCTAAAGAGAAGACATTGTTTTAATTAATCTGTTGGCTTAAATTTGGTGAGGCAAATTGCTAATCAAGTCCTTTTATACAAGTTCGTGTATATGAGAGTGTATGTATATATAAAAAAATATATATTTACTCTTCACTGTGTGTATAGATGTGTTCTATCAATATTTCTATGGGATTTGACGAAACTAATACAGTCTAATTTTCTGCTAATGTAAGTGCTATATAACATGTCTTCCTATAACTTCATATAGCCACAACTTTTTATGTTGAAATAGACTATATGAATCTCTTCACCATTTGTCTCATACATTGCTTGGAAGTGACGCAGTGCAAGATCTTAACTTGTGGCAAAACAAAACTACTGAAAAAGAAACAGTTATACACACTGCGAAATCCTTGTGCAAACCTTTTTAACTTCTAAGGGATATGTTGTCTTTTGGAAAAAAAGAAAAGTTTGAAATATTGCATGTAAATGTTTTACTGTAGGAAACAAATAGAAGAGATGGAAGAAAAACAAAGATCTGACAAAGCAGAACTTGTAAGAATGCAGCAAGAAGTAGAGTCACAGCGCAAAGAGACAGAAATAGTACAACTGCAAATTCGAAAACAGGAAGAGAGTCTGAAACGGAGAAGTGTTCACATTGAGAGCAGGTTAAAGGATTTGCTGGCTGAAAAGGAAAAATTTGAAGAAGAGAGATTACGGGAACAACAGGAGATAGAGCTTCAAAAGAAAAAGCAGCAAGAAGAAATTTTTGCCCGGGTCAAAGAGGAGTTGCAGCGACTACAAGAACTTAATCATAATGAAAAAGCAGAGAAAATGCAGATTTTCCGTGAACTAGAAAAACTTAAAAAGGAAAAAGATGAACAGTATATTAAGCTGGAATCAGAAAAAAAGAGACTTGAGGAACAAGAAAGGGAGCAGGTGATGCTGGTAGCTCATCTAGAAGAACAGCTTCGAGAGAAGCAGGTCATGATAGAGCTCCTGAAGAGAGGAGATGTACAAAGAGTTGAGGAAGAGAAAAGAGATCTTGAAGATATTAGAGAAACTCTTTTGAAAGTTAAGGAAGCCCGATCTGAAGGTGATGAAAATCATGAAGAGTTAGAAAAAGCACAGCATGATTTCATAGAGTTTAAAAGGAAACAGCTGGAACAGTTGACTATTTTGGAAAAAGATCTAGTTGAACAAATGGATCACCTAGAAAAGGAAATAGCAGATGAGAAAGGAACTCTGGAACACTTAAAATTTGCACATGAAGAATACTTAAATCTCAAGAGAAATGATGAAAACTTTGTGGATGCCGTACTCAAGGCTGAAGAAGTTGACAAGATAAAGCCAGTGGAGTACAGGCTCCAATCTAAAGTACGCCAACTTGAGTACCTGAGGAATAATCATTTGCCAGCTCTGCTGGAAGAAAAACAGCGAGCTTCTGAACTCCTTGATAGGGGCTTGTTGGGGTTAGATAATACTCTCTATCAAATAGAGAAAGAAATTGAAGAAAAAGAAGAGCAGCTTGCCCAGTATAGAGCTAGCACAAATCAGCTGCAGCAGCTTCGAGAAACATTTGAATTCACAGCCAATGTAGCTCGTCAAGAAGAAAAAGTTAGGAAAAAGGAAAAAGAAATCCTTGAATCAAGGGAAAAACAGCAGAGAGAGGCACTGGAGCAAGCTGTTGCGAAGTTAGAAAGGAGGCACTCTGCTCTGCAACGTCGTTCGACGATAGACTTTGAAATTGAAGAGCAGAAGCAGAAGCTTGCCACCTTGAACAACAGCTGCAGCGAACAGGCAGGTCTACAGGCTAGTCTGGAAGCTGAGCAAAAAGCCCTTGAACAAGACCGAGAACGGTAAGTGTTGTGGTAGCTTCCATTTACCAGAATCTGTTCACTAAAGGTGAATCATTTTATACCTTACAAGTTGAGAGAGCTTGTTCTGTGTCCCAGCGTTTGAGTTTCTTGATGAGTTTCAAGTAGTTTACCCAGAAATGAGACTCTGTATTGCTTATTAAAGGATCCTTAGTCACTTATTAATTTCTGTTGTAGTTGGATACTTACCCCATCCTCAGCAATATAGTATTTGCATTAGCCATCACAATACTTAAACTGTTTTACCTATTTAAAAAGCTTAGCCAACCTTATGTTCTGCCCTTACAAAAACATGTACCATCTAATAATTTTTTTCACTTAAAATATTTATGTGTAACATCTGTTTCTTTATCAGTAAAAAGCTAGATGTTTGTTCAAGTTCTGGAGACTGGTAGTTATAGTAGACAGTGCGAAGTATGTGTCTGAACTGATGATGTATTGAACACTTCTGGTGTTCAAAGTAAACAGGTGTAATGTTTAATTTTTTGTTATTGGTTTCAGGACTAAATAAAATAGACTAGCTACATGTCTGTAAAAAATTTGGTGCTGTTTTTTAAGCTTATTTGGAAATACACAGAGGCTTTAATACAGCCCTATGTGATGACAAACTCTTTTAGGTACAGAAGCAATGTCGTTAGTTATAAACATGATACCTGGTACTGTAGCCTAGCATTTAGGCTAAGTATGAGAGGCTCAGAGAAAAGTGATTCAGGTAAGGAAGGATCTTCCTTTGTGGAGGAAGAATTCTTTTGTTTTGTTTTTGGCCTGAGCAAAAATCCACTGGGATTCATGCATTTAATCCATGAAAAATGGAAAACGGACAGAATTGCCATTTTTAAATCTGTTGTCTGATTTGGTAGTACTCAGGCTTTCAAACTTGTTGTCACTGGTGAAACAATGATGTGTTTTTTCTTGAGGTAGCATTTGTCATTTGGTTTTTAATATTGCACTAACTATCTGATTTTTCTTTCATAAACCCTTTGAACAGATGCTTGATTAGAAAAAACACCTAAAAAAAGAAACTTGCCTATAGCCAAACTGAAGAGCTCTTCTGTATTCTTTTCCTTCTAAGCCGTTATCAGAAGATAATAGTTCTTGTCTACACCCTGCGTAGAGGTCACTTTTTGAACATTTGGTTAAGCATTTTCAATACTGATTTATCATTTTGTTGTGGATATTGCCATTATTTTTCATAATTGTTCTGAACATAAGATCTCATTTTCTACACTAAGCATCTCACTTGACTAAAGTAATCTATAAACAACTGGAGGTTCCACAAAAATAGACAGCTTGCTTAGCCCTCAAGAGATTGCTGCATTGTGTGATAAGTGGGAAAAAAATGTTGTCAGCTAGAAGACTGAGGTTTGGAATAGATACCAAAGAAGTGAAAAGGTCTTCCCCCCCCCTTTTTTTTGTTTACTTTAAAGTCCTCTTGCACAAACTAAATAAAACTTTGAAGTCTTTCAGTGAATTGCCCAGGGGCCTGAATAATTCAATTCAGAATGTTTTTATGCATCTTGAGGCAGAAGAAAATCTTCAGATACCTGATAGTACGTTAAATGTTTCAGGCTACCTATCACTCTTGTGCTTGTGTTTACACTTCACAGTATACAATGTCTTGGGCGCTATGGTAAGCATACAAATTGTATATGTTACTTATTGTTTATCTAGGTACCATTATGTGATGATGTGCTCTGGTTCAGATCAGTGTTAACTCTCTGAAAATGTTTAAATGCAATATTAATTTAAAATGCTGTATGATTGGAGCATTTGATCCAGCATATGACTGGATCTATCCAGTCCACTATAACTGGATAAAATGTTTTTTCCAGTTTGAATAATATGTTAGCTGAAATGCTTTCACCTACAGGGATGACCCCCAAAACAATAATTTGAAGTTAACTTAAACTGGAATAATGCATACACATTTTGTCTTTACTGGCAGAGATTTCTGGCAATAGAATGAATCTTTGAGACAACGGGATGTATTGCTCACAAGTAGCAAGGTGCAGTTTAGTGTACTTGCTGGTGGAGGCATCACACGGCTGGATAAGTTTATAGCTTATAGAAAGTGATATCGTTTGATAGTAGGATGTTTACAAATGAAGCGATAAGCTTTGTTCCTTTAATGTAATTCTGATTTTTGTGGTTAAATTGATTTTCTATAGATGCAAACACTCTCCTATATCCATCAGCCGTCTCCCATCCACTTTCCCTCAGGATGCAAGGTTCTTTTGCTGCTAATCAGAAGAAACAGATGGCTTCTGGCAGTGCTGCAAAAAGTATTCTAAAAATCAAGTAACAATTCAGCCTGCTTTACTGCAGCCTAAGCCTCAGTGTTAGTCGTCTCTTTAATTTTGAGTTTTGACCTCCAGGGTGGAATAGAGTAGTTGTAGCCTTGTACTTCAATTTAGATATATGCAATCATAGGATAAGTGATAGAATCCCAACTTTGCATGGTTTCCCCTTCTTTTGCATGAACTTCTTTTAGTCTTTAATGTTCAAGTAGCCCATAGAAAAACAATTACCTTTAGAGACAAAAGTTGTAATGGAAATGGGGAAGGTTATTACTGTGTTACTAATCTAATCTCGGCTACATTACAAGTGAAAAGTGTTTTCTGCAGACTACTTTGTTGTAATATAGTTTAATTTGTCTAAGTGATAAATATCTCAAGAAGTGCTTCTTATTTTATATTAGACGCCTCAAGCATTTTCAGTCAAAAATACATTATCAGACTTTACATATTCAATTCTGTGCATAAATCTGACTGGTATGAAATTTACTTGTTAAAGTGAGCAGGTTTCCATTTCAAAATATGATTTGTTAGGTTTATATAAAATACTGGCCTTTTTATTTCATAAGTAAATTTTCAAATATATATACAGACAGAAGGAATAACTGGAAAATAAGATTTATGTGTAGAGTACAAAATTTAAAGATTTTCTTGCAGGTATCTTTTGCCATGTCATTGTTCTAGGTTGTCTGTCTTTTAAAAAAAATATTTTTATTAGTGCTGTATTTTGAGTCTGTCCCTGTGTGCCGGTCCCACCCTACCCCCTCACCCGTCCCCAGTTATTCGCTTACTTGACACAGAAAGTTAATAACTGAGGTCATTGAGTTCTGTAATGAGGAAAGTTTATTCAAGTGATCCTAATAGATAGGTTAGGTCTTATGAATTAATTTTTAATCTGCTGGGTTAGATACCTTTTGCATTGGAAGTTACTGAAGTTGTTTAACTTAATACTGCTGTTTTAATGTGTTTTTGAGTTGTCTCTACTTTCCTGCCTAAATATGCCTAAAGAACAATTAGGGGGTTTGTATCTTCATAAATTTTAATACTTACGATCTTACATATGTATATGCCAGTGTAAGTACTCTACTTGCCATAAGAACCATGGGAATCAATGGTGCTGTAAGACAGACAAAGAGAATTACATTCTAAGATCTCTTTGTAGCCTGGACCAGGAAATTCAGCAGCTGAAGCAAAAAATATACGAGGGTGATGGTGGTCAGAAAGGAAATCATGGAACATTAGAAGAGAGGCTCTCCCATACTACTTCCCCTGCCAGTCCAACAAAGCCACAGCCACCTGCTGCTCCGCTAGTTGATGATAGGTAGGTAACCTGTATTTCTGCAATATTTTCATGGGAACGCAAACAATAGCTTTAGAAAAGAAGTATTTTGAAAGATTGTTCTGCCAGGATTGGGTTGTAATTTAATACTGTAATTGTACTTAAAGACTCATCTGGAAATCAAATTAATTTGCTGTATTTTACTTTAACCAACAGGCTAATCTGTTACTCCTGTGCAATTTGTTATAGAATAGAGGTTTGTGAAACCGTAGGCTTAAATGTATTTAAACTATTTTTTTGTTAACAGTTACTTGTCTCTATAGTATTGCTTTATATAGACTTAAAGCAACAAATTTTTAAAAAGGCAGCTGCCTGGTATCATTTAAAACCTATTTCCGCTTTGTTCTTTTAACACTTATAGATGCAGTTATTAGTATCAACTCTTGGAACATTCCTCCTGTTTGAATACCAAACCTTTGCTAGCCCTAGTTGCCAATATCGCAAAAGTGATAAAAGCAAACCATTAAGTAACTAAAGGTGCAACTCCAGCCTTCTATTTCGTCTTCATCTCTCTTATCCTCAGTGCCGCTTCTATGTAGAGCTATATGCATAGCAGTGGCTTAACCTGTGGTCCATTAAATTGTCTAATTGTGATAACAAATTGTTAACCTTTGCCTGTTAAATGAACACTTGCTTAAAAGTCCATGTTCCTTAAGGAGGGATAAAACCGGTCTAACATTAAGCCGGCCAGTTAAGAGTTGTGCAGTATTTAGGGTTCCTAATGTTTCAAAGAGTCCTTTAGCCTGTCTTGATTTTTATCTAAGAGTATACTTTTTTAACTTTTCTATATCTTGAAGGATAAATGCCTTTATTGAACAAGAAGTGCAGAGAAGGCTCCAGAATATTCATCATAAAGCTGAGGATAATGATGTTAGCCTGTCCTGGTCTACAGAAAGTTTAAAGGTGAGCAGAGACAGCTAGGAAATCCTGACCTTCAATGCACCATATGTAACCATGATTTAGTTTTGTTGTTCAATAATTTTCATGTTTTCCTATGTTTACTTAATATTAATTTACCAATTAATCAGGGATATGAGTTTTAGATTTTTTATGTCTTTTTTTCCCAGTGGCTGTTTTATGTTCTATTTTTTTGCAGGGAAGAGTGTGTAAATGGCAATAGAAAGCTTGCACATAAAATAAAAATTCTCATTTTATTTCTGTAAAATACATTGATAAAATTCCATCCAGAAGAACGATAATTTTTTATACTCTCAAACAAATGCTCATTTAAAAACTGGTGATGTAATTCATCCAAAGACTGGGTCAGTTGACTTCTAAGGCAGGAGTTTACTAAATATCAATAAGAAAGTAGTTGGTTTTGGCTATTAAAAAGAATGTCTCTTTCTATAAATAGTTTTAAATGAACTTGTAGAAGAAAGACATTCTTTTCAATACTCACCTGTACCTTTTTTTGTTCTTAGGATAATGAGAGGCTTAATAATGGCACTGTTCAACGCAAGCTGAAGTATGAGGTAGGTCATAATTTGTCAGAATGAAATGGTTGTCTTAAATTATGGCATGCCCTGTAATTAAATTTCTTAATGTTTAGCTGCATAATTAGAATTTTGAATTCACAGCAAGATTAATGGCTAATAGAGACAGCAATGTATTTTGCCAACTGGAATGAAAGTGATTTTTTTCAGATTGGGCATAGTTTTTTCCTTATTTCAAAGGTGTAGTGTTATTGTGGATGTTTCTTCCTTCTTTTGTCAAGATTCTTAATTTGGAACAGTATCCCTTTCCTGATTTTTAAAGAATAAAAGCATTTCATGAGGACAGATTGTCTGAATTCAGGATACCACTTCACATTTTTGACTCACAATGAACTCACTACTGTAAGAGTGTTTAGCCAGTAGCATCAGGCAAGTTTTCCTATGTCATGAAGGATTCATACATGTATTTTTAAACTGAGGCTTAGACCCCTCCCACTGCACTTGCTTGCCTAACTTTTGCTTGAAACATGGTAAATTACTTGTCTTTGTGAGTAAATCCTAAACACCTTTATGGATTTAAACTTTGATAGTAGGAGGGCTGCAACAGCTCTAATTTGGACTTATTTTTACTTTTACACTGCTATTTTTAAACTGTGTTGGACTTTTTACGCTATCTTGGATAATACAGGATTACTTTTTTGTGCATATGTAGAAAAATAATAAAGGGCTTATAAATTCCTGCGTTGCCCTTTGACTTTCCTGTGGTTTTCGACTAAAGCAGATATAAACCAAGTGAAATGGATACTGTACAAAGGAAAAGCAGTGGTGGGCTGAAAAGATCAACCATTCCTGAATCAGACCTCAATCGCTCTGTTGGATTTTCTCTGGCTAATTTTGACAGATTGTACAATGATTGTACCAATTTTGAATGATTGTACAAACCTAATCAAAATTAATCCACAATTTAAAAAATGTTAAAATCGGAAGGTTTTGTAAAGATATTTCTATTTTCTTCTTTTGAAATTTTTAACAGAAAAGTCAACAGTGGCAGCCATGTTATGACTTTCCATTTATCTCTAAAGATGGCCATTGTGCTTCTGAGTTGTGCGGAGAAAACACAGGAGTAAGAGATCATAAAATACAGAAGGAATATACAGAGATGTGCGATTTATTTTCCAGTTCTGGAAGAATCTCCTCCCCTTTTACATCAGAGAAGGCATCTGAGAATGGAAGGAGTAATTCAGAACAGGAGAACTTTGCTTGTTGTTGTGACATTGAAAGTAGTTTAATTCACTCTGAAAATATTAATACTTTAAAGAGTAAGCATGTTCCTTACCAGAATGTTTTATCTACTTCTTTACAAAGTCATGACTTAAATAACGTGGCTTATTCGCTCTGCAAGGTTGAAAATTTCAATCATTTTGATGATAAAATAATGACTTCTCAGGATTGTGACAGCTCAAGAACTCAATCTGATTGTTCCTGCTTGAAACAGCTGTCTCCTGTAGGATCCTTAATGGGTGCTAATGAGCAGGCTGGCTTTAACAGCATATCATGCCTTCTCTTTTCTCAGTCTAATACGCATTCTGAAAAGATAACTTGTAAGGAAAACAGCTCATGTAAGGCAGTGCACCCAACAATCGAAGACCAGTCAAGTAATTCTCAGCTTCCCACACAAAAAGTCTTTGATTTTATTTCTTTTAAGTCAATAGCTTCTTGTTTTGATGTGAGACCAGAACACACTTATGGCTTGGGATATCTTTTCAGTAAGCTTTCCGGCCTTTACAAAGATACCAGTAGTCAGCTGCTCAACAGTACAGTGGTTTCTGAACAAATTAAGGAGTTGGGAAATTTGTGTGACACAAGCAAGAGATGCGCACAAGCGGTATCGTTAATAAAAAATCTGCCGTTTATGAGAAACTTGCAAGTAAATGTATTCTTCAAGTCAGATAAGAATCAAGACATGTCCCACTCTACTGATTATGCCAAAGCTCATACTGAAAATGTCGTTCAGCCTGAATACCCTGTGCAAGAGGCTATCACGATGTGTGTAAGCACGGAAATCTCAGATGTCTATGCGAGAAAGGAAGACAAAGCTGAGGGATTTGCATGCTGTTGTAAAAATGAAGAGCTGGAAAACAGTCTTGTGTTAAGACAGAAATTTGTGCATTTTCCTGATGTCTTTTTGAAGCTTCAGGTCTGTTCTCTGGAAGAAATGCTGGAATTTTTGACCTGTGCTTTACCTCAAATTTGTATTAGAATGGAGGAGTTGAAAGGTATATATTGGCTTGCTGTTGGCAATTGCAAAAAACCTGATCCAGAACCTGCCTGCTTGCTGTTGTTCAGCTCCATTCTGTATGTCGTTGCTTCGTCAGACAAACAAGACATCTGCTGGAGTTCCTTGGCAATGTTTCATGAGGTTCCCATCATTACAATAAAGGAGATTCAAGTTGGCTTTGCTGGACAGAGTATTAGTCTTCTGTGTTCTGCTGAAGATGGTTTACTCACAATATTTACCTATAACAAACACTTCACTCAAAGAATTTGCCATGACATAATGGGCGTTTTGATTTCTACAATGGATGATGCTGTGTATTTAAATCACCCACTCTTGAAAGATGATTTGATGCAGATTTCACTTGACTGGACATCAGAAGTAAATGACTTAGTTTTTTCAACTGGAGTACGATTGTCCTGTAAATTCAAAACCGTATTAGCTGATCTGGTTTACTTACTCCACGAAAATATGGAAAGTATTAAACCTTCATTAGGTGACATTTGTGTCCTGCTATATACCACAGTGAAAACAGACTCTGCGAAGAAGACTGTGTATAGATCTCTGGTTCTTACAACTACTCATATAGGTCTTTTGAGAGAAAATACTGTCTTCTGTCCTACACCTAATTTTTTTGATGCTTCTTGCCAGCGATCACAATTTGACAGCCTTCAGTTGTACAGTTTGAATGATATCCGATGTGTAGTTTTGCCAGACAAAGAGAATTTCACAAAAATTGAGCTTGTGTTTTCTAGAAGGAGCAAGGTTGGATCTGATTCAGGAATTGGTTTTTCTAAATATTGTGAAAAAGAAATAACCACTCAACTGACAGTCATCCCACCAATTCTTCAAAGCAGTTTGCATATCCCTTTGGAAATCTGGAAATTAACATTCAGTTCAAGTGAAGAAGCCATTTGGCTAATTATGCATCTGACTAGGTGTTGAAATCCAAATACGTTTAGATACATTCAAAACAAGAGGCTAATGAATATTGATAAAATCATCTTTATTTTATTTTTTTAAATCAATAGGCAAAAGAGTCCTTTGAGCCTGTAAGGGCATACTGTGGAGTGTGTACAGACATCTTAGCAAAAATCATTATTACCTGAGTGCTTACTTTTTGTGGGTCTCCAATATGCTGTACATAGATTTCCTTGGCAAACTGAGGAAATTAAGTGTTTCTATCGTACATAGTAGGTGGATCAAAACTATAATTACAACTGTGTCTTCTGATTTCCATTTCGGCTGTTGTTTCTGGCTCCCTCCATCTCCTGTCTGTCTTCATTAATGTCTTCTCCATTCCTCTCCATACCTCCTAGATAGCTTTTTCCTTAATCTTTCTGACTATCTATGTTTTTCATGCTTGTTATCTGTTTCATGCCCTTGAACTCAATATTTCAAAAAATCTGCAATATTTTTTGTTTGTCCGCACCGTAAGGTGCATTTAGGTTCCTAAAGAGCATTCACTATTTGCTTTTAATACTGAAGATGTTTATAGCTTTTATATTTACAATTTTGGGAAGAATAGCATTGACAGTTCTCTTCTGCTTCAGAGTTTTGCATTAAGGATTCTTGCACTCTTGCATTAAAGTTTGTCATAAATGCAGAAGGAGTTGTGTTTGGCTTATTCTAAGCATGTTGGCTGAGTTACCACGAATTGATGGATTTGCCATACCTCTTTTCCCCTGGGTTTGTTCCCTTTGCCTAGGGCCAAGGGAGCTTAGGCTACATGGAAGCAGTGAAACAGAGCAAGAAAATTGCAGAGAATATCCAAGACTCTTTTAACATTTCCCCCTCCCCCCTTTTCTTGGAGGGAAGCAATGTATGGCTTTAAGTCATTCCTATGTATTTTGTCCAAATAATTAACTTGTACTCCTCCGCAATAGGGTAATTTTTCATATTCCCTTGATGTGAGTGTTTTAAAGAAAATGAGATGTGGAAAAAAAGGGTATAAACAGATGTCGGTTGTGCTTTAAATAGCATTTTGACCTTTGGTCATGCGACTTTTGGGGTTCATAATCTGTGTACATGTTTCTCATGCTGCTAAATGGGTAGCTAGCAACTGGGGATACTGCCTGACGGATGGAGTAAACTTATCCCTAGAGTTCTCTGCATGTAACGTGCCCCTTTTTCTGCTTGCTTCCTAGTGGGGTTGTGAGATTGCATCTCTTAACAGTCTCTTTAATATTACGTTATACAGAAATAATGGAACAATTGAACATTAGTAAAAGATTTCCATTAGTCGAGGTTTTCCTTTAACTTAGCACAAGGTTATTCTTTACCTGTTACCCCTGTCAGATATTCAAGTAATAAATAAGCTGTTGTCCCCCGTCTTTTGTTTCTTCCCTTGTAAAGGGAGCTGAATACCTTTTGAATCCTGTTGCTTGAATGTGCCATCTGCCTTTTTTGCGAAGTATGGTCCTTGGCAGAAATAACAGTGGTATCTAATCTGAAATTCTAAATTCTGTAAGCATATTGCCAGTAGAGGTGCAATCTTCTACTAGACAGGGTTAGACTTCAGTCTCTCTACTAGTATAAGAACATATCCCATTTGTTCTTACCATATGTTAAGACAGGATAATGTAATTCACATGGGATTTAAAAAGAAATAACTTGTATTGGATGAGGAAGTTGTGTCTGGAAGGATGAATGCTAGTTTGGATAGAAAATTACATTTTTTTAATCATAAGAAAACTTAATGCTACCTGAAGGAAGTCCAAAGATGAGCAAACTGTGTCACGTTATTTTGAGGTACGGGTTTTGTTTTTAACAAAAAAGTATACACAAATATCTCACAGAACATAGAGCAGACGGAGTAGTTAAGTTGGAATGTAACGTCGTGTCAGTCCAGTTCGAGAGTGGCTCCCTCACTGACATCACCATGGCATTTCTTCTGAGCCTTGATGAAAGTTAACATTAAGTGGCACTATCTGGGAGGACTGTCTTAATCGTGGCTGTTAAATGACAGCAATTTCTGCAAGTAATTCCTTTTCACGTTAAACCCCGAGGTTAAATGTTGTGCATGTTGCATTCCACGTACGATGGTTTTTCCTTTTTGTGTTTTCAAATCTAATAATGAATATTCTGTACTTCTATGAAAAAATGCCTTCATGGCAATATCTTTTATTCTACTGTAAATGAAACATAACATAATGATCGATGTTTATGACTATCAAAGCATTAATTTAATGTATTAGGGTGTATTTTTCCCAGCACTTTGTGCTTGGGATTATTTTCCTCTCTATTAGCTGTTTGTAATAGTTCTCTGAAAATGACTGCCAATAAATTACATGTTGACAGAGGTGGCTTTAAGAGTGACTTTATGCTTTTATTGTTGTTTTAAAACAGATGATATTGTTGTCAAGGCAGTGAACCCTTCTTTTTTCCCCCCAAGGAAAGAATGACTTATATTTCTACACTCCAGAAATAATTTTAGTTGAAAAGCCAGTAACTTGAGCAGAAGTGAAAGAAGGGCAAAATGGAGAGGAGAAAACATTTGTCATGTAAATGAGTCACTAAAAGTATTTTTCGATTCCAGTGCAAAATTTATTGTGTTTTTGCTAAAAAAAAGGAAGAAATTTGTGGCAAACACCTAGATAAAGTCTGTTAATTGGAACTAAAATTCAGTTTCTTTGTATTTTCTTTTTCACTGTTCTTAATGCTAACATTAAGGGGAATTATGTTGGCTTTTATAATTGACTAGTAATGAAATAACAGCCTCCCCTTTACGATGGCCAGGTGAAGATGCCAAAAAACTGTCTGTAACAAACAGCATTCAGGGGGGCGTTTATGAACGATTTTCAAAGTTTTCTCCAGCTCCTACACAGTATCACATGTACTGGGAGTCACCAAGAGTTGCTACAGAGATACCAAGTGTCTGTGAGCAGAAGCCTGAGCCATGTTCATGTGTGGAGATAGTGTTGGTCAAGACTGAAGAATTTTGGTCAAGCAACACATCTCGTAATAGTTGCTAAGGGATTGAAAATGCATGTTGAGAATACAGCATCCATATAAGCAATGGATAGCATCACTAAATAAAAATATATAACATGGTCATAACTTTAAACAAATCTTTTTTTGTTATTAACTTACACTTGTCATGGTGCTGTTATTTTTTAAGTACAAGTTCATTAAGCTTTTCAGACCAAATGCATTCAATTGAGAAAGTGGATTTCCTGAAAGACTGTTTCTGTGCTTGTTCACTGTAAATTCTTATGCTGCTTTTGGACATGCTCACTGCAAAGCAGTAATCTTTTCAGTTGCAAAAATATTTTATTTTTGACATAACTTCATAATTACAGATTCCATCTGGCTGTTAGTCAGAGGAATGTGCCCTCACTGCAAATATCTTTTTAGCCTTCTTTGTCCAGACCATGAAAATTTATCACAGTTGAGTTTTCTGTTAATTAGATATGATTTAAAGAAAATAGTAGGAAACTACTCTGACAGAGGATTACTATGTTATCTATACCTTACTTAATTATAAAATGAGTTTGGATTTGAAAGTCTAAGATCTAGGCAATTTCTGAATTGCCTTGATCACCTGCAGCTTTGCATGATATTGTAAACAGGTTTGTTATGTAAAGATAAAGACATCCAAAAATATGGCTGGCTGTGAAAGCTTAATTCATGTATTTATTTTTTCAAAGAGGGTTAATACAAAGTCTTCTGCTTTCCCTTGTTTTTGATATCTAAGCTGAAAATGCCTTTTCAAAGCATGAGCAATATTTTTGAGGACAATTCACCTCATTTTTTTCGTGCATAACAAAATGCTAGGACTTGCTTATAAAAGGAGTTCCACTTCATTTTCAAGTAATCCCTTCATTTTTGAAATAATTTCTATCTCCTCCATGCTCTCTTTCCTTGCTCTTCTGGCCAAGAACATTTTCTCATTTTTAGTGAAGTTCTTTTCTTTTTTTCCTTACGTAGTGATTTTGGTTTTCCTTTGTTCTCCCTATTTGGTATGCACATGAAAGCGGATGGTCTGTCGTTCTCTGGGAGCAAATCCAGACAACCTAAAGGACCCAATTAAAATTAGTATTCCACGCTATGTCCTGTGTGGGCAGGGAAAGGATGAACACTATGAGTTTGAAATAAAGGTAAGTGCTTTTCAGTGTCTTCTCCTTAATGTTTGGGTTCTCTGTACACATGCTGCTTGCGTTTATACAGCAGTGGCGTCATAGTAGCAATAGTAATAGAAAAATGCCTTTTGTTTAAAACTAAGTAGTTCCTAGTTTGCTCTGTCCAGCTGTCAGTGTTCGCTGTGACAGCATCGCAGTTAGCAAAGATGGAAATGGCAACTCGAAACACACCTGAGAATCTCCAGATACCAGAAATCACCTTACTAACCCCAGTGAAATGTAGTTTTTGTTTCCACTAACCACAATTTTTGATTCTGTCTCTTTCCACTGACTAAGTGGCCTCAGTACTGCTAAATAAGAGAGGTTGTGAAAAGGCATGCACAATACAGGATACTATAAACACAGATATTTTCCAAGTGGATCAATTGTACACAGGAGGTTGACGGTCGGACTCTTGGGGTGAGCAGTTCCAGATCCAATGCCAAATAATTCAGTTGAAGGTGTTGCAGAGATGAGGATTAAATGCATATTGGTTGTAGGAAAGACCTTTATTGAGATGCGAGTGTCAGGTATATAAAATTATTAGGCTTGAAATATTTACCTGTGATAATGAAAGCATAATTAAAGTTTTTTGCACATATCCACAAGAAAGGCTTGATTCCTTTCTGTCTCTCTTTGTTGTTCTGATTCTTCCCACTCTGCTTTTCCAAGGTCCTTCTTCCAAACTGTTACCTGCTTCCCCTCCATTGTAGTGGCTTCCTCAGTTAATCTTCTGTGCAGAAATGCTGGAAAAATTGCATATTCATTATGTTTCCTCTGGTACTAAGCCAGTGTTTTTTCAAAGCAAGATGTGAAGTCTAATTGGAAATGTGCTCTCAGTGCATGTGGACATGTAGCATAACTGATGTACATGGCATCAGAGACAGAACTGGCAGCCTTCTTCACTGAATGTACTGCCAGATGCTTCATTAGCTGCTTTAAGTTGGAGGAGCAACCTGCCCTCATGGTGTGCGGGACCGTTTTTGAACTGTGCTCACATTATCTTTTGCAAAGGCTTGTACTAAGATGGGCAATCTAAGTTCTGTTTGAGCTAATTAAACTTTCATCTCAAAACATACTGCACAATTTGTGGATGGGAATACTTGCTTTTGCCTTTTGAACTTGGCATTTCCTGGGCCCAGCGAAAGCCCAGAGCCAAAAAGATGCTGAGAGAAGAGTAAGTGCATATAAAACTTCCCCACGGACTGTTTCAGCCGCCAACTATTTTCAGCACATGGGATCAACTAAAGTGGGTAACTGTTAGTGAAGGTAAACACAGTAAAAAGGTGTGTTCTCTTTTTAGTAAGTTGGTGGATTTCTTTTCCAAGTATTCTCCCTTCATCCCTAAAACCCATGTAAGCATCTGTAGGATCTTAGAATGAAGGGGCAGTTAAAGAGGACTTACCTGGAAGGAAGTGTAGTAGAAGAATAATGTTGGAAGGGGGTGGAATTTGTAACCAGGAAAGAACAGGGTGCTCTAGCTAAGACTGGTGTATATGGAATGGCTATTCTCTTCTGTCGTACTCGACGGTACCATCTTTTCTTTCTCACTCTCCTGTGCCATTTCTAGGCTTCCTCTGAAAGAAACTGCTGCTTTAAATAACTGCTTTGATGAAGTTCAAAGCAAAGAAATGGATGCCATGTGGGGTAAGGAATGGACCATCGCTTCAGTAACTGTATTCCATCGCTGTCGGCTTCCTTAGAGCACAAATATTTCTGTTGAAGATCCTATGGACCTTAGTTGGCAGTCATTGGGATATTTCTTGCAGTCATTCCCTTACACAAATCGATCAACTGTTTATGCTTTTTCTTTCCTTCCAGGTCTCTCTATGTCACAGTGGGCTGCTTTTGCTGTGGTCAGGATTTGCTCCAAGCTACAATCCACAGACCTTCCACAAACTTTTCTATTTTATACCTTTCCCCTGTATCTCTCAGAAGTATTTTCTTCAGCGGGCATTTCTAGTCATTGTGTTTGTAGTTAAATCCTGGCATATTGCCGTGAAGAGGAACAAATACAATAAATTTCTATATGTAGCAAATATGTGAATTTCTTCTTGTGACATGCAATAGGAAAAGATTATTTTCTTTGTATGCCAAAAGAGAGTGAGTGAGTTCCACTTCTATTGGCAGCATCACAGTCAGTTCATAAGTCTTTCATCTTGAACATATCCAAAAACATTTTTGTTTTAGTGCAGGTTCAGCATCTTGTCCATCTAGACATATATAACCTTTGGGAATAGGCCTAGATGGTCTGTCCACTCAAGTTCTTCCACTGGATACAGCGGAAGATACACTGGATACGTACTTTAAGATGTTGAGTGACTCCCAGGAGAACCTACTGGAGAGAGTTCAAAATAGAAAACAAAACCATGCTTTATTAGGGTTAAGATAGAACCTTCTCTTTTTGCAGTAACAGATGTTCCAGGGCTGTTTGTGCTAGTCTGCTATTAAGTATTTAGTATGAATAGATACATTTCCAAAAAAGCTTCCATTTGAGCAACAGTTTTATATGTTGTCTCTAAAGACATGATGAAACAGTAGTAACTTAATCAGGTTTAAACATATTTCTGTTAGAGCTGAATAAGAGTACCAGAAAAATATTCTTGTCATCTTCTCTTCCTTTCATGTTGTTGTGATACACAGAATATTCAGACAAGGCTGTGCTAGAAACAGCGTGTAGCAAGACCTTTTGCGTTGATAAGACTGTTGGCATCTGTTACAGACAGTGCCTGTGGTTGCAGACAGTACCTATGGATGGCAGAAGGAACAGTGAGGCAGCAGGGAACGGGGAACTCGAGCTCACAGAAAGGCATGCAGGGTCTCCCGAGAGCTGGTGATGGAGGCAAAGCCTGGAATTAAGCACAGCTCTGCAAGGGACTCTCTGCCAAGGAGGAAAGGTCTAGATGAGCCTTCTCACTTTGATGCATCGTTCCCTAGGGGGTTTCCCTAGTTGTTCTGACTTCTCATTTTATTTATCCTGTCCAATACTCTTTCAAAACTGGCTTTTTTTCTTGTGTTTCAAAGCCTTTCAGTCATCTCCGATGAGTTCTCTATAGGAGAAGATCCAGGCAGATACACCCCAAAGCAGTGCTTTTCTCCAGGTGCGGTCACAGTTGTGCAGTCAAGTGCAGTGGTGGGTCTGCTCAAAATGTCCGTGTTTCTGATCAAAGTTTCTTTCTGAACTCAGTGTTCAGAGTAAAGCAGAAGCAATGCTCATTGATACATAGTTCTTGATGAAAATGATGCATATCCTATCTATACCTGAATTAGAAAAAAGAAAAAGCACAATCTTCTCTCAGCTCTATCAGATTAATCAGGTTAATGAATAAAAAAAGGTTCCAAGAAATTTTTAAGCAAGTTTTAGCTTTTCAGATGCTGTATTCATAGACAGTGTGAGGAACAGTTTCAACAAGGTCCACTTGGAGAAATGTGAATTTTTACAATTACTGTAGAAAGTTTAACCAGCCCAGATAAGTAAGGTGGGCATGTTCTGTTATTTCTGAGTGCTTCAGAATCAGGTGGAATATTTTATCGTCTGTCATGTCGTGTTGTATGTGTGTCCATCCCCCCGCCTCCCCACCAAGTTTTACTTCTGTTTCTGTGGGTCAGAAGGGGAACAAATTCTGTGACATGCTTTACAGTGAAATATGTTGAAAATGTCTATTAAGTTATTTTCTGTCAGTCATCACGCAGAAGAAAAGATAAGGAGACAGGTCTTGTAGTATCTTTCAAATAGGAGTTTTGCATAGCAAATGGTACACCTGAATTAAAAAAAACCCACAATTCCGAGGCAAATCTGGGATTCTTAAGTGCCCAGATAAGAATATTTTGAAAAATCTGTCTTACAGTTTTAGTCAACCATATATTTTTTTTATCAAGAAAATACTTTTAACTGCTATATTAGCAAATTACAAGTAAAAAATAGAGGGCTAGTCAAATTTGCTTTACTGCTACTGTTCAAAAGATCTGCATATGTCCCCATCCCATACTTACAGAGTATATAGTCTATCATACAGCTTTTTTAAATGCGGGAAAAGAATCCCAGTCTCCACTGTCTGGATCAGCTGTAGGAATAAAAGGCCGTGTTCTGGAAATGCTATTGCTATGCCAGGTATGCTGTAATTCTCCTGTTTATATGAGTGGAGTTTGATCCTAATAACGTTATTTTTGGGCTTTGGGGACTGGTTAAGATTTTCTTTAGCTTTGAAATTAATTTTCCAATAATATCGGCAGTATGGGAGGGAGGGAGTGGCTTCATGGCATCTCAACAGAGAAAAAGTTTTCAGTAACAACAATAAAATTTTGCAATGCATTACCTGCTAGTGTCCTTGCAAGATTTTGGAAAGCAAACGAAGAGGACAACAGGGACCAAGTCAGGTCAAGTCAAGGCACCAGAGTACGCTGTAGAGAAAATCCTTCAGTTCTTAGGCAGCACAGATACATTGCTTTGCTCTTTTTTCTTCCTGCCCATCTCTAACATGTATTACAAAAGTGGTGGTTAAACCGGTTGTTTATTAAACTTTGTAGAAGAAAGCTGATAAAGAAGTGGCTGCAGGCAATTTGATTTGGGTAAGTTTGGTATCACCCTGTCCCCTAGACAGCTGTCGGATGCACAGTGAACAACTTTGTTGGCAAGCTGACATTCACGCTCTTCTCCAGGCTTTGTAGCTGGAGGAGTCCTGGGTGCTTAGTGCTAGATCGCTCACCTAAAGGCATGCTTCTGTGAAAACCCTAGGGAAAAAAGAGGTCATGTTTGTGTAAAGGCCATGTACAAACGAAATTATCGCAGCAAAATTTCACAAGTCAGAAATACTAAAACACAGAATTAAAGCAAAGCGAAAGCAGGGATGAATAACATCTTTATTTTATGATTATCCATTGCGCTCTAATGTTTACTTGAACGTTGAAATCACAAAGCCCTTTAAAGTCATTATTCAGAACAAAATGGTTAACTGGTTAATCAAGATCAATGTAACTTGCGTATTCCTGAATTGTTACTTTTTTTAGTTAAGCCTGCCTATGCATGTTAAATCCATTCACCTGATTGTAAAGCTCGAGACAATATATTGAGGGAGGACAACTCTGTGAATTTTTAAATAAGGAAATATGGCCCATCATGCAGATGTCCTAGTAACAGCCAAACTTACTGGTGACATGAAAGATGACTTTTATCAGAAATAATGAATTTACTTTGTGGAGACGTGCTAGAAGAACCTACATTTTGATATTTGAAAAGTTTTGAGAAGGCCAATTTTGCTTACTTATAACTTTCAGTGAAAGAGAGAGGTAAAAATAGAACACCCCTCCAAAAAACCCCCCAAAACCAAACAACAAAATAAAAAAACCCCAACCCTCGTTCCCGACGCTGTGAGACGCACAATGATTTTTGGTTTCTAAAACACTTCCTCCAGTTTCCCTGGTCTGTAAACATGAGCAAAGACAGTGGGGATAGGGAAGGGTGGACCGGAGATGAGTTTGTTGCGAGCCTGAGGTAGCAGTTGTCAACAACGGTGCTTGGATGCTGGTTTGCTCTGGCTCTATTGCTCCGGTTTCCTTTTCTCCTACTCACACTGTTCCGTTGTGACTTTCTATCACTGTAACTTTCTGGTACGCTCAGTCATGAGGCATCTGCTTGTTCATTTTAAGAGTCACTTTAAGATTAAAAGCCAAGCCCGTGTCTTTGTGAAATGCATTTTATGACAATGTTTATTTTTGATCTTCATGCATGAATTCATAGCTAGGCGGGGGTAGTACCACATATTAGGCCTGTTAGATTAAAAAAGCAAAACAGGTTTAGGCAATTCAGGTTTAGGCAATGCCAGTTGGCTTTCTCTAGCTCTACTAGTTGGTGTAGAAAGATGTCTACTCTCCCTGCACCATTGCTTCTTGTAGCCTCGGATCACCAGAGCTGCAGAAAGACTTCACTGTAAAATCAAAGGATCCAGCCATAGCACTCTTATGACCCATTTACAAATTTATTTCATAATACCTAATTTCAGAGAGTGAAAAATTTTCTTTCCCTGAAATTGTTGTTGGTTTCTCAGTTTCAGTCAGAATTTTGTGAATAACTGATGGCAAGATTGGCTTGCCCTCCCCCTTAGCTCCTGTTGCTATGTGCTTTATTCACAGGAGTAATTATCTTAATTTTAATGAAACTTCCTGTATAAATGGGCTGTTCATCAACATTAATGACACAGGCACAGAATGTTTTAAAGGAATATCTTCTATTGAAAGCCAGCATACGTGTTTTTTTACCCTACAAATTGGAATCCCGTTCTCCATGGTAATGATCTCTGTGTGTCCGAGAAACATGTCGTTACTATTTGTGTATCTGTGTATACGTGTGTGTATATGAGACTATATACATTTCTATGGCTGTATAGAGAGGCTACACTAGGCTTGTGCTGGATGTTACTCATTCATTAACGGAACACCCGCTGATTGTAATGCTGTGAGCTGCATAGCTGCACCAAGGAATGATTGGGGATATTTTAATGTGTTTGCAGCCTTGTCAAACCACTCCAGAATAAGGAATAAATGCATTCAGTTTTTTTACTTTGCAATCAGTGCTCCTTATTAAATACAGTTCTGTCAGTGTAATGAAAGAAAAAATAAGTAAACCTGTAAATCTTATGAATTTGAGGTAACTAAGAATTGCCTGTTTTAATCTGGCAGCTTTGTATACTGCGTGGTTTTTAGTCTTATACAATGTGTGGTTTTACTTCTGTCTCTTCTTTTTATATTGTCTGATACAGATAACAGTCCTGGATGAGACATGGACAGTATTCAGGCGGTACAGTCGTTTTCGGGAAATGCATAAAACTTTAAAACTGAAGTACCCGGAGGTAAGTTTTGGTAAAACTTCCTTTGCAGAAAATGGTGGAGGTAGAGACTTGAAAATAAACTTTCTGAAAGATGTTTACTCAAAACCAATATTCCTCTCAGCTGTAGGCTTCTAGTAACATTGGCAAGCCCTTCAGCAGTTTAAAGCTCCAAGGCTACTAGATACGGGATGGATGTGGCATGCTGTTGCTACAGTGAAACTGCGACTCCGTGTGTTGCCTCTGGCCATTAATTCCCTTTACTGTTCACTGGCGTTGTTCCCTAGAGGTTGCTGTTTTCTTCATCGCAAGATACTTGCGGTCAGATCGTGTCATCCTGACAACTCCTCATTTAAAAGAAAAGCATCGTTCCACAGATACCCTTTTCTAATAATGGCTTCCAGGTTTCTGCAAAAAGGAAAATTGATCTTTCTAACCACTTTGGGAGACTCTGGCCATTCAGGGTATGAGGAGCTGTGCCTGACAGAGCTTTAGTTCATTGGAGTGCACGTTTGTAGGATTACAGTTCTTGGTTTCCACATCTAACTTCTAATTATTAACATTTTGCCTCCTTTTTATGTCTTCCCTTGGATATTAGAAACAATAAGTCATTCAAGCAATTGAAGTAATTGTGATTTGAGAGTTAGCACAAGTAAAGAAGCCTGGGCCATATATTCATGGGCAATATATTAAAAAACATTAATATGTTTAAGGAAGAGAGACATGCAGTAGGATGCACATGCTTTCTTTGTGAAAAGTTTTGGGTCTTCATTGACTTATTCTTTGAGCTAAAAACTAATTGTACATGGAAAGACTTGAGTTTTAAAGAGGAAAATATGTAGATCTGTGCTTTGTGGAGATTCTGGGACTTAAGATGTATTCCAAAACAGTATGAAAACCAGAAATTGAAACTGTCATGCACCAAATATCTAATGAAAAGCTTACCAAAAAAAAAAAAAAAAAAAAACAAAAACCACGAGAGAGAAAAGAAAAAGAAAATTAGGTTACAGAAAGATTTAAAAGGTAAAAATGAGTGTTGAATGGAAAATTGAGATGTTATCTTTCCACAAATGCTTTTAAAAATACTACTTGTGAGCGAACATCAGTATCATATTTTTCATTCGAATGCATTGACATTTCCTTTTGGATGTTAGAGTTATAGTCTGTTGACAGTAACACCCGAATTGCATCTAACTCTTGAAAAAGCAGCTAGGCAGTCATCCAGTTGAAATAGAAAAGGGCCACCTGAACCCCTCTGCAGACTGATCTTCCCCATTTAGGAAAATGTGCGAGTGGCCTTTTTCAGAGTCTGTTATTGGTCCTGACAGTACATTGAGGAACAATGGAATTTAGCTGTCACAGTTATGTCAGAGGGAGACCAGCTTCTTTGTAGTATGTAGTAATTGAGTTCAGGAGGAATCTGATGTTCTTAAAGCCATTATTAAAATGCCCTGTGCACTGCAGCATATTAATGTCACTTCTTTGCATCACGTATTTGTGACTCCCAGTACGAATGCAGGCTTTTTTGGTGTTACAGGAGGGAGTGGGGTTTTTTGTTGGTTTTTTGTTTGCTTGTTTTGAAGAACCATTAGAATATAGGAGTGGTGTTGCTAGGTCAAAGTGAAGTCCAGCATCTAAGAGCATACAAGTGAGAAAAAAATCCCAGCCTAGAGCGAAGGTGCATAGTTTTCTTCATCTTTTGGAGTTTTCCCAGCTGAAGTTGTTTTCATTGTAATTAGTAGTTCATGATTAATATTTTTCCTGTGGATTTTACCTATATTTTCCATTCTCTACAGCACTCACTTTATAGGTATCTTATACAGACAATTTTCTTTTGCTGCTTTTTTTTAGCTTTTTCCCTCTGTTCGCGGTCATGCTTGCAAGGTCAATACATTCTCTAGTTTAATGTACCAGTTTGTTTCTTACTGATGCTTCTGTGTTGCCATACGTCTGTGTCTTAGGTAAACTTATTGAGATTCACATCTAGTACATTAATGGAATTATTGGTTTAACTACACAGATGAATAAATTTCTGATTTCCACATAGGAAACACATTATACTAGGTTTTATTAAGTTACCTGTTCCCTTCTCAACAATTTTGGTAAGTCAGGGCAAATACCAAGTCTTACAAGTTCGACAGTACAACTTTCCCTAAAATATGATCCTCTTTGGAGAAGCATAGTAATGTGTTTTGGCTTCTAATTATACTTGAAAGAAATGTTTAGTCATGTTACTTTCTGAAACAATAGGTCCTTGGCTCTAGTAGTATTTTCTTCTAGCTTTTATTGAGTCTCCACAACAACCTTCAATAAATTACCAGTGAGGTTCAAGTATGCGTATCTTGGCTAAGTACAAGACACAGTAAAGGTCAGGAGAAGCGAAATAAGCATTTGATTATGTCTACTGCTTTTAGATAGGTACTGTCACTTCAGCACCTGTTTTGGAACCCGTGGTAGCACTGATGTTGTCTTCTTCATTTTACATAGTACAGGCTGTTGTATTGTGTTCACTCCTGCTTTGAGACTTAGGGCACCACAAGGAAATGGCAAGTTTGTGGGCAGAAGAAACCTAGCTAATACGCAGTTGGTTTGTTCTACTCATCAGCATTTCTACAAACTACCATGTCCTTGTTTATCAGAGGGGAAGAGCACATTGTGATGGATGAAACACATAATATTGTGCGCTGTAGTAAAGATTTGGTGTCTGTTTTCTTTGAATGATAACATTTCATTATCAATGTTACACATGTGAATGATGACTTCCCATATTTTTTCCCTTTATTTAAAATAGCCTTAATTTATTGTAATTTTTGATTAGTTTTGCAATGTGAGTAGGAGTTAAGTTTGTTTGGTAAATTGAAAATCATCCGTCTGCTTCCGCTCATCTGTCACTGACCTGATTTGGGATTCAGCATGACGCTAAAATGCATTTTAATACCAAACTTGAAAAGTTACATCCTTAGTTACTGTATATTGTTCCAAAGAAACTTGATCCTTAAAAGCAGTGTTATCAGAACCCATCAGAGTTGAATTTTATTTTGCATAGTTCACCTTCCAACTCCAAATTAATATTTATAATGAACAGCGAAAATACCGTGGACGTGTTTAATGTATGAGTGTCCTGCTTTTAGAAGTGAACTTTATGGCTCATTAGTTGCTCAGCTCTGAGTACATCAGTATTTTAATAATTTGCTGATCTTGCATTTCATGTTGCTGCCACTGAATTCCTAAAGGAATGTATTGGCAAACTGATTTATTGGGAAGGTTTATAAAAAAAAATTATCTTTTTCAGAAGCAGAAACCATCTCATGTCTTCCAGCCTTATAATATGCCATATATTTTATATACCTGCACATTTCTTCTAATGTAATTAAGTGGCTGCTGACAACTGGATATCTAATTGAAATGTCACATGCAAATTTTGAAAGACTGAAGAAACTGCAGCAGGGTGAGATGGTGCCAGAGGCAGACAAGTGCCAGCATTTTAACAGTGCCTATTTTTTTTAGGTCTGCATGATTGTCATTTGCCTAGCTTCGGTTTTCGTATGCTGCTGGATTGTTAATGACTCTCTTATTATTTTGGTAATTTTAATTAAGATTATTCTTGGCTTTCAGTTGCAGTAGTCTATGTAATGAGTGTACTTTTTGTTTGTCATTAGTCAGAAACAGGAGCAAATGGGATCTTCAATAGAGAAGTGAGAACTTTCAGAGTAAGACTCTCCTTTTTTTTCCTCCTTCTTCCCCTTTTGCTATCAGCTCATGGTTTTGAGAAATTAGCGGGGTGCTAGTTTCTGCAGAAAACTTTCCCTTCCCTATCCCCGTCTTCCTGTGAGGGAAAACTCGCTCTCCCATCTCTGTTAGTTCAGCAAGTTTGAGTGATGCACTGCTGTGATGGCCACTGCTCTCCTCTTCTTACCACTTTCCTGTCTCTTCCCTCTTTCAAAGGAGAGCAGACGAACAGCTGTCTTATTTGTCTTTCCCTGCCTGAATCCAAAGTTTATGAAGTCCCTCATCCCTGTGGATATCCTTAATTCCTACTTGCATCCAGGTATCTAGGCCAGGTTTTGTGGGGCTTTCACTGTAGGCTCTGCTTATGGAGTTGGCCTGTCAATCTTCTTGAAACCTGTTTCCGTGTGCATAAAAATCTCTACATGGTGTAAGGGAAGCACCTCCTATTGAAGCATTTTTATTACTAATAGTAATTCTTGACTTAAAATATTAGGAAATCTGTAGAGAGATGCCAAAAAGAAGCTACAAGGTATGCTTGCATTTGTAGAGTCATTCATGGAGATAAGGACGTACGTGTATAGGCAAGATTTCTTCAGGAATGCTAAAGCTATCGACTTTAGCTAATTTAACAGATTGTAATAATATGTATATTTGTATTTGAAATATGGGTTCTGTATCGAAATATGTATTTGTATCTTTCACAGTCTAAAGCACAAAAGGACTGTTTATAATTATTAAAGAATTTTAGGTTGTAATTGAGCCAGCTTCCCCTTCTGCTGGTCTGTTTTTCATCTTGCATGACTGAATGGATGCATGATAGCCATATCTGAAACAGTGGAATGTCTACGTAAACTTAAACCTTCAAGCCAAAATTACCAGGTGACCTCTACCCCCATCTGCTATTCCCGCCGGGGAAATGAGTGTGCACGATATATTGTAGTACCATATCAATATCCTGAATCTTGGAGGTTAGGATTAGAGGCTGTTACCTGGATGACAGAGTTTTTCAGGTACATTAAGTATTGGAGAGTAAAGACTATATTTTATAATTGTTAAGAAAAAATGCTGCCTCTTTTCCATTTTTGTTGTGTGTCTAGTGTTCTGGAGGAAAGACTATCATCAGTAGTGTCGATGAGAATCATATTCCTTCTTATTTCTGAAGATAATATTCTCTGATTATCAGAAATCTTTGTTTGACAAAGTATCATTCTGTTTGAGTGAACTCGAGGCTCTTGTCAACTGGAGGAGTTAACAGGCTGCTCTTTGCTTTGCATACCCGCAAGAAGTGTATGAAA